AGGTCTTAAAGGGTTAAAGCCAGCATAAGTAGATTGTTACAGACTTTGCTGCGTTACCATAAACTCTGTATAACAGATAGTCGTAGCTAATGCCACATTACCTTTTCCTTTCCACATTTTGAAGCCTCGGCTAAAGCATTTTGGCTGCCACTGTGTTGACTTCTGTACGGAGCGTCACACTGACACTGGTATCAGCTAATTAGTGTAAAAAATAAGTCCACTGGAGCCCAGAGTTCTTGGATGGTCTGTAGTACAACTAGTACATACCCATGATACAGTGTGGATTGGTCTGTTCAGCCTGTGTGTGATCAATTATGTGACTGTCTGAAGATATCAAACCAAACCATAGAGAGGCAACTTACAAACCTGAGTGGGTCCAGATTTGCCCGTTTTTGTGGGTTCTGTGCGACGCTCAGGCCCTGCTTTACTGTGTAAATACCATTGAAGTCCATTGCTGTGTGGCTGTCAGGCAACCTGACACGTCATATTGTGCACTTTACATTTTATGAGGTGTTTCTGGAGCCGTGATAATAAAAAAGGGTTATTGTAGCCCATTGATATGTGGTTCCAAGGCCATGTGATGATGTCATTGTATCTGATGTAGATAAGAACCTGCAGGAACAAGAGTCTGTGGACAAATTTGGTGGATTAACAGTAAATCCAGCAAATCCAGGGGCAAGGATTGCTCAGTAGGTCGAGTGGTGGCCCCATGATCGGAAGGTCGGGGGTTTGAATCCACTAAACGGCTACTCTTAGGTATCCCTGAGCAAGGTACCGTCCCTGTACACTGCTCCCTGGGCACCCACTGCTTCACTGAATGAATGGGTTAAATGCTGAGAGGAATTTCCCTATAGAGATCAATAAACTATATTTTCTTATTACTATTAAATTAACCAGCACAAACAGTCCAGAGGACATTAGAGCATTTTGATGTTTTCTTTTTTTTTTTTAAACTGTTCCTCTGTGTGTGGCGCCCCCCTCAGGTGGCTCTGGGAGACTTCCGTCACTCCCGTCAGGAGATCGAGGCGCTCTCCATCGTCAAGATGAAGGAGCTGTGCCGCATGTACGCCAAGAAGGACACCAACGAGAGGGAGAGCTGGAGGGCCGTGGCCCAGGACGTCTGCGACACTGTGGGCATCGGAGAGGAGAGGAGCCCTGCCGCTGAAGAGGGAGGAGGAGGAGGAGGAGGTGGTGGTGGAGGAGGAGGAAGTGGTGGTAGTGGAGGAGGAGAGACAGTGGAAGGTGGAGAGAAGAGAGGCGTGTACGACTTGAAGGCTCACATCGATAAGCTGACAGATATTTTGGAGGTGAGTTATGCTACGCTTGTTTTGTTCACAACCTGAGGATGGCGCTAGCGGAGCGGAGCTAAACGTGTGCGACTCCTGCAGGAGGTGAAGCTGCAGAACAACATGAAGGACGAGGAGATCAAAGCTCTGAGAGACAGAATGATCAAGATGGAGAGCATCATACCTGTTCAGGTAAGTTCGCACCTCCCGTCAAACCATCGTTGCCTCCTCCAGTGTTAACTTTTGTTCGACTTGTTTCCAGGACGACGACATGAACGGCGAGGGAGGAGAATCCCCTCAGAGAGAGAGAGACGGGGACGTGGACGAAGACGACGACTGCCCCAACCATCCGGAGGTCAGAGTTCAGCGGCTGATGGATGAGGACCCGGCATTCAGGAGAGGACGGCTCCGCTGGATGAAGAAGGAGCAGCAGCGGCTCCTGAACCTGCAGCAGCAGAACATCACCAAGAAGCTGCGAGGACAGAACCAAAGCCAAGGTGAGCACGGGGGTGTGGCTGTACCGTTATGGCGAAAGTCCCCACTATTGATCGTCATCGATAAACCTATCAAATGAGTTAACTAACTCAATTAGTTGAGTCGGTTGCTTGCGCTGTGTCCATCTTTTATTTACAGTCTGTGCCCTGACCCTTGCTCCTCCAACTCTTCCAGGTCAGAACACCCTCACTGTCCCGATCCACCTCCCGGGAACCGGCCGCTTCATCCCTCCCCAGGAGTGCAAGCTCAAGTTCCCCTTTAAGAGTAACCCTGCCCACCGGCTGTCCTGGGGACCCGCTAGCGCCGCCCTGCAAGCTCTGGGTCTGGGCGAGGGAGGAGGAGGAGGCACTGATGCTGGTGAGCAGAAGGAGAACAGGGGAGGAGAAGCTACAGGTTCTCCCTCACCTCCGCCTCCCCCACAAGGTCAACTCCCTGGTCTCTTGCCCCTCCCCTTCCCAGCTCAGCCTCCTCGCATGCGCACCCCCAGCCCTCATCGTGCCTGGCAGCAGCGTAACCAGGGCAACCAGGGTGGCTACCACTACAACAACCAGGGCAACAACCAAAACCAGCAACGTCGTTACCGCCGAAACTCCCTGGACAGCTCGCCACAGGGCAACGGGAGCTACGACAATGACCAGCACTTCAGCGGCGGTGGCAACGGTGGTCACCAGGGGCGACCAAGACAGAGGAGGGGGTTTTCCCCTGGGCCAGGGGGGGAGAGAGGAGGAGGAGGCAGAGGAGGAGGAGGAAGCAGAGACGGGGACAGAGACCGAGACGGAGGCTTCCCTTATAATCAACGCCAGCACCATCAGTACCACCACCACCATCCCTACTACAACCCCCACAATGCACCATTCCAGCCTGGACCTCACCCTCACCCCCATTACCACAGCCTGCCGCGGTCAGGGGCCCCGGCCCTTCCTGCTGACATGCTACTGGGCATTGTGCCGCCGCCAGGCGTGTGGGCTTTCAACACTCCGCCCAGGATGAGGCGGCAGTTCAGCGCACCGGACCTCAAAAACAACAACAACAATAACAACAAGGAGACACCGATCTGACCTCTGACCTCCCGAACACGGAGGCTCCTGATTGACTGCGGGACATGGGGTGATCCTGATGCTGTAGAGAATCGGCTGAGAGTGTGGTTGTGTGTGCACGTGTGTGCATTTGAGCACTTTTACACACCCTGTATCCTCTGTCCTGCTGTGCGTGTGTTTGTGCGTGTGTTTGTGAAGCTTTTAGCTTAGCACAGGTGAGCTGTTAGCGACGCTGACGTGCAAACATTTAATTTCAATTTGTTTTGTTCTGTTTTATGGAGTTTGTCGTTCTGTCAGACTTTGATCACGTAATGATTTAGCTTTTTTTTTCTTTTTTAAATTTCACCGATGGCTGATGTTCGGGCGTTGATCACTGTGTTAACGAGGTGCCTTAAATCCGACGTGTCTGCTGGTGAAGCTAGTTTTGTTTTTAAAGATAAAGGACGTCAGTTAGCAGGGTGGTGTTTCTGTGTTTGATGAGGGGTTTTTTTAGCTTTTAGTGCTAGCAGGTGAAGAATAGGTGAAATTGTGAGCTTAGCCTAGCCTACGCTGCATTCAAGTTCCATGGGAATTACAGATTGTACAGCTTGTTAAACTCACTTCAACCCTCAAACTGATAATTAGGAATTTAATCAGAAACAGTAAACTTGTATTTACATCTTCTCCCATGTGATTTGAATGCAGCATCGCTGAGTGCTACAAACCAAAGAAAGCGGCTGTGCGGCACTTGCTAGTCAGGGTAAAAGCGTCAGTGCAGGAATAATAAGTGCCAATGGGGCATTTGCAAAAACAGCAAAACAAAAATGGAGAAGTTGAGGGCGAGAGCGGCGATTGTAAATGGGCCCCTGAGGAAGAAGAGGTGCAGAGAGGAAGTGTAGCAGGCGCTGCGCTTGTCTTACCTGTCAGATGTTTGTTTTTAAGAGCTGTGTGTGTATATTTGAAGTGTTAAATCTGATTTTTAAACACGTGAAATGTCCTGACGGTAGGTTCACCGTCTCTGGCAATCGTGGGAAATGCAAGTGATGCGTAACACATGATGATGTCCCAAGGTGGGAGTTGATGTTGGAGCTCAGAGACATAATCATGAAGGGATGGATTTGTTTATGTAGGGCTAGATAAGCAAGGAATTCTGGGAGATGTATTGAGAAGGAGAAGGTTTTGAGGGAGAGAAGAAGCTGATATACAGTAAGCGTTTTGTTTTTGAAGAAGTAACAGACACTACAGCATGTCAGGTGTGATACAAGATTCCTGCTGTAAGGATGTGACACTTTTTACATTGTATCCAATTCAAGAAGGATGGGAAAATTCACTGCTGCCTTCCTGGCACGTAGGGATCCTGGAAATTGTGGCCTCCACCTGTTTCAGGTTGCTTTTAATTTCTTCTCTTTTTCAAACATGACATTTACACACACATATATTTGCTGGTGTTGTGTTCACTTCGCATCTTTAAGATAGGAAACAAATTTCCAGCTTCCTGCGTCACAGCGAACGCAGCGTTTTACGTGCGTTTTATTCGCACTGAATCAATGAAGACAAGTTTACTGCCAAGAGGGGCTGGGAGAGTTGGCGATACTGCGCACACTCCACCCACTCAAAGCAGAGGATTCTGGGAGTTAACAAGTGGAGCAACGATGAGCTCTGTGGCTTTTAAGGCTTTTTTCATAAAAAGATTAGAACCAACCAATGGCAGCGCTCCTTCCTGCTGCAAGAGGGAGTCAGTGCCATGACGATGACGATAATTATGATGAAAATGAAATGATTGCAGTTGGCCTGAGAAGCATGATGGCAGCAGAATCTCTGGAATTGACCAATCACAGGACAATCTCTAAACCTGCTTCCACTGCCGGGCCTGATGGGAAAATTAGTTTTTTGTTTTTTAATTATTATTTTTATTATTATTTTTTTAGATTTTTTTCCAGCTTGGGCCTCCGATTGGCTGTTTGTTTTTCATTTGTGTATCACATCATGTACTGCGTATTTTAACCAACCTCCATGTTTGACCTTTGGTTTATGATGTCATCAGTCATCATCACTTATTAATATAATTATCCTAAAGTTATACGTGTCATTAATATTTGGTTCTTGTGGATGCTGCTAAAGGGAGTTTCTTTGCCCTCACGCAAACCGTTGAGTTAGTGTATGTGTTTGTGTATGTTG